CGTAGTGGGCTTATATCTTTTGACTATATTGGAATTTCGGTGACATTTCAACACACTCTAATGATTATTTCAGAAGGATTTTAGCTTTATGAAACCATCATTAGGGATGGAGAGGGAAGTTTCAGGGAAACTCAGGGAAGTTTGGCATGGACTTCCATTTCCTTTTAACCAAAATAGTGTGTAAGCGCTTGAGAACCAGAAAAAGTCTTAGATGTCCACAGCTACAGCTGCACTTCCTCAAAGTGACACAGCAGTGACACAAGGCAATACAGAAAATTATATCAAACAAACATAGCGCACTTGAACCGAATCGGATACTTTGAATAATATTCTACAAAATAATAACATATAAAAAACATAGTGCAGACTATCTGGTAAAGACAGTTGGAAGAAGTATGAGAAGGCGGGCAAAACGCGTCACGGAGGACGTCATAGAGAGGCGGACCCACGAGGCTCACGTGATCAGGTATCGGCGAAACCCAGAAGAGACTGTATGCCGGTGGCCAAAGAAAAAAGTTACCTGCGCTCTTCCAAAATCCCTCTGTATATTTAAACAAATGGAGGTTATTTCGTTTCTCCAGTGGCCATGAGAGTTTAGCCCACCTGCCACGTCAAGGCAAACCTCTCAGGTGGGTCCTACACTAACCATTCACCTAGCTTTCTTGAGCTTCTGGCAGAGATATCTCTAATGAGACGGAGAGAGGTATTTTGTATATACACCCCTACATGCTTATTAACCCTTAATAAGGAACACATGGGATGGACGGCAGCATTGTAACATAGCTGTGCGATACAAACGTGAATACAAATACAAAAAAAAAAGTCCTGCGCTCAAACTCGGAGTGATGGGAGTTTGAGCGCAGGGCTTGTTTTGTTTTTTTTGTGTTAGCGAGGCTCACGTGATCAGGTATCGGCAAAACCCGGAAGAGACTGTATGCCGGTGGCATTTAAGTTTTAACACACTTGCTGGCATGCCCACCACTACTAAAGTATTGTATTATAATAAAGTAACTGTGATACTGTTCAATTGGAGGTTCCTGCCTCACCTTTTAACTCCTACACGTATAGATGATCTATACATATCTATCCGTATCCATTATATAGAAACATATATTTGAATACCACGCTGCGGGGAGTATCCTTCTCCATTGAAACACCTCAAACCCAGAGCCAGGGGTGATAGGTCTCTGGTACATGTGAGTTTTCTCCCAGACACCCCTGTATATATCTTTGTGGTTTTACCAGATAGTCTGCACTATGTTTTTTTTAATGTTATTATTTTGTAGAATATTCGAAGGATCCAATTTAGTTCAAGCGTGCTAAGTTTGTTTGGGATCATTTTCCATTTCATTTTGTTATATCTGTTAATTTTATTTGCTTCTGTTGTCAAGCTAGGTTTTGTGGTCTATCTTGGAGGTTGTCTGCCCTCTTATGTTTCATACCATAAATTCTAGGAGTGGTAAATGTAACTGTCTCCTTGCGATTATGAAATCTACCCATACAACCACTTTACCCAACCAAACCATTATAACTTGGTGTGCTTATCTGATGAATTTCCTAGAGATACTTTGTGAAACCTTGTTTTGTATTTTACTCACCAATGACATCACTGCAGAATTTTCAGCACTTTCCCGTAGCTCTGTAGAAACCGTATATTACCCTAAAAGTCCTCTTTGAAATTCAAAACCCTGTTTTAACACTATCCATTTCAAATAATTCACATCTAAACATATCACTTGTAAAATTCTAAACTTTTATTTGCAACAACAAAAAAGAGCAGATGTATCTTGATGGCTAGCACAGCTTGTGTGTTGGGAATGCTGGCATAGTTACTGAGAACCAGTTTGTCTGATTTGGTTAGTGATGTTTGTAAGAAATTTGGACATCCGAACAGTTGTCTATCAACCATTGGCTAGTGGTAAATTTTTCCCTACTTATTCATTTGTGACACAGGCAAGAAGGTTGCTTGATTTACCTGTCACAGGAGATGGTTAAAGGGATACTCCAGACCTCTAACACACTTCATCTAAGATATATATTTAATTGGGATGTGGAATGTTCCTCTTAAATTACTGTAAGTTTTGAGATAGGAAGACTTGAAAAGATGAAACAATCCTCTCGGTTAAATTCCAAGCTTCTTACAGGGTTATTCCCAAAAGTGAGAAACCAAGGGAATTTTAGTAATTCTACTCTAGCTTTAAAGGAACACTGTAGAGTCAGGAATGCAAACATGTATTCCTGACCCTATAGTGTTGGAGGGACACTGTAGGCACCCAGACCCATTGAAGTGGTCTGGGTGCTAACTCCCATCACCCTTAACCCTGCAAGTGTAATTATTGTAGTTTTTATTGCAGGGTTAACTCCTCCCCTAGTGGCTGTCTACCAGACCGCCACTAGAGGGACTTCCGGGTTCTTAGATGACTTTTAAACGATGCTGTGCATGAGGACCTCCAGCGTCGCCGGAATCCCCATAGGAAAGCATTTAATAATGCTTTCCTATGGAGAGGTCTAATGCGCGTGCACGGCCATTGCCGCATGCGGATTAGGTCTCCGCTGCCGGCGGACGTTGGTGGGGGAGGAGCCTGACCCAGGGCCGAGGGATATCGGTGTTGGATTCAGGTAAGTGACTGAAGGGGTTTTAACCCCTTCAGCGACGTGGGAGGGAATAACGCACACCCCACTAATCTACAGTGCCAGGAAAACTGGTTTGTTTTTCCTGGCACTAGAGAATCCCTTTAAAATCACAATTTGCGCCCCCCCCACACCCCATTTGTCACCCTAAATATAGTAAAATCTTACCTTTATTCGAGTCTGCTTGTGTTGACTTTGCCCCTGTTCTTCCTCCTTGACTGACATCATCAGATCTGAGGATCACAGCCAATCACAATGTTTTTCAATAGGAATGTATTGGATTGGCTGAGATTGTCAATTCTAATGGTCTCAGCCAAGAAGGGTGGCTTGGGGTGGAGCAAGACACACCCCTGGCCAATCAGCATCTCCTCATAGAGATGCATTGAATCAATACATCTCTGTGATGAACGTTCTGTGTCTCCCTGCTGTGCAGCACTGCCCTTGGAAGCACCTTTTGTTGACAGCTGAGGAGTGGCCACTGGAGGTGTCCCTAGGCTGTAATGTAAACACTGCCTTTTCTATGAAAAGACAGTGTTAACAGCAAAAAGTCTAAAGGGATGATTCTACTCACCAGAACAAATAGTATAATCTGTAGTTGTTCTGGTAACTATAGTGTCCCTTTAAATTTAAAATTCACTTTGATTCTCACTTTACTAAATAACCCTGTTAGTCTGTATGTGTTCGGTCTTTTTAAAATGTCCACCAGAGGTGTTCATGTACACTAAACATGTTTTTTTATTAGTCTTATTTTTTTTATTTTTTTTATCAGCTCACATTATCATTTTGAGATCATTGAACAATTGTTGAAGAAAAACGTATGTGTTCTCAGCTCATTGCCTAAGAATGTAGGTGATTTGTGCTTTGTGCTTGGGGTGCCCTGACACCCACTCACCTCATTGGTTAGAACTTAAATAACACAACAGCATTTTTGGTTTTACAGGCAACTCCCCAGCTTTTGTTATATGGCTAGCTGTCCTATTTTTAAGTCATTAAAATGATGCCATAATCTCAGTTGCTCACAGACACTGAGTAAAACTGAACCATAAATTGACAATTTTATTATCTCCCTTTGAGCTTATATTTTACAGGCTCGCTTTATAGCAGATGAGGGTCTGGGGAGCTTTTAGTGCTCTTGGCAGACTGAAAATCACAGATAGTCAAGGAGAAAATGAAACGCGCCACGCTGAACTAATTGTTGCTGTTAATTCCATTCAACGTTTGTCTATATAAGTCTGCATGATGAAGTGCCGTCATTTGCTGCAGTTCTGAAAGCCTGCCTAGCCTAAGCACTAGATAATGTGGTTACTTTTACAGTATATAGTTTTGGATTCATTGAGAAGTGTTTATCTTCTCAAAAGACATTGAATTGGTATGTGTTCGCCAAAGATTGGTGGAGATTTCGAATATCTTTCACCAAAATGTACCATGGTACCATGTACCAAAAAATACTTAAGAAAAAACAAACGCATGGGATGTTTTTTTTGTTTGTTTTTTTTTCTCCTCTACCCTCTTTCACTCTCTAATATTACTTTTTAATGGGTAGAAATTTTGGGGCCTTTTACACCGCTAAAGGTGTCGCACCCTCCCTGCCTTTTAGGCTGCTCATAGGATTGGCCCCAAGTCTGCCTAAAGGGCCCTCCACCCATTCCACCACCCTCTCGCAGGCACCTAGAGTTGCAGTAAGGGATGTAATGTGTGTGTTTAGGGATTGTAGTGTATGTGTAAAGAAAATCAAGTGTGTATAGGGGATGCAGTGTGTGTGTGTGTGTGTGTATAGGGGATGCAGTGTGTGTGTGTGTATAGAGGATGCAGTGTTTGTGGGCTGATATAGGGGCTGTGTTGTGGATGAGAGCGTGAGAGAAGTGGTTTATTTATTCTTTACTTAATATATGTCCACCTCCACTGCATGGTGGGCAGGTGGTATTTAGAGCTTGTTGGCGAAAAGCTCTACCTATCAGTGCCATCCCAATATGGATGAAGCTACTGTGGAAGAATAGCTACCGCATTAAGAATATGGCAAGCATGGGATCAGGCCATGATTACCTCAGTTGCTCCAGGGCTTCTCAGACCATTTAAAGCTAGTTTGACACAGAACTAAGGGACGGCACCTGCTAGATTTTTGCACCAGAACATCTGCCACAAGTTGTAGTGTTTAGACTTCCTCTTTAAGATGTGCATTTTTATTTAGGACTCTGTTTCCCTTACATGTACATGATGTAACGTTCACTAATTAACTCAGCAGATAGCCTTCCAGACTTACAAAGTGATTTAAACAACCGTTGGGGTAAAATAGCTAATCTCATGCATTGTTTTATGAATAAACTCTGCCAGGTGTATCACTGTTTTGTTGTTATGAAAGGAAAGAGTCGGGTTTCCTGCGATTTGCTTGTGGTTTGGAGTTTTGCACAAGGAGGTGTGTGTATTCTGGAGAAGGGATCACCATGACGTATGTGCCAGTGTTGGGGGATTTTTTGCATGTGTGCAGAAACACCAGGCTTCCATCCAGTACTGTTACTTTTTCGTCTTCTGGTTTGCATTATCTCAAGCTGTCTGAGGATCGACTGTCTGCTCCGCTCACAGGAGTGGCTGGCTTCTCTTTCCTGTAACAGGAAATATTCATCGAACTCCTTTCTTTCAGCTATAAACCCTGTGCTTTTGGTAAAGTTTCGTTCAGAAGCGAGGGGGAGAAAAAAAGAATCTTCAGCATGTGAAGCCTACAACATAAAACGGGTAAGAGGCTTCATTTTTACTTGTTTTTATCTCTAACATTCACAAAGTGAAAATAATGTTATGTCTATACAAAGTAAACATCTAACTACATAGACAGGAGTTTGAATATCCAAGGCACTAAAGGGCACACGTCAGGCTGTATTGCAGGGTCATAAAACAGTAACAGAGAAAATTGTCCCAGCAACATTTTAACTGTTTCCCAGCATCCTGGAAAATTTAGTTCACCAACATCTGCAGGTTTAAGGTGAATCAGCACAGTAGTAGTTTATAGTTGGTGTGCATGACGTAGTTGTGGTGGCGAAGGAGTTCAAGTTCACTATATGTCTGCACTAGACCGGAAATCATTACAAAATCCCCCTTAACACCACCCACACTTAAACATCATAATATAACTATTACTTTTTATTTTGTACAGAGTAAACATTATTGTGGCATTCAATAACGGCACCTTTTTTAGTAATTAAAGACATGTTAGGTTTAAGACATTGGTTTTAACTAGGTGGGTGCATACGTTAGGTGCATTAGGCATAATGGTTAATGTCTAGTGAAAGACGGTGTGATATGACATCTAGAGCTTAGCTTTGTAAACAGTACAAGTATGATTTGCTATGGGCGAACTGTGTGGCAGGTCAGTGTGGTAGGCGATAGAATAAACACATAGTGCCTGACCTCCGTGTGTGTTGTTAGATGACTAGCCAAAAACATGGCAGGGTGCATTCTGTTTAAGCCGGAACTAGTTATGCCCGCCAGACAGGTTAATTTGTGTGTCTGGTATGCAAGCTAGACGAGATAATATAAAATAAACATGCAAGGTTATATACAGGCTACATCAAGGATTAGGAGGCGGTAGGGGCCCGGTAGTGGGTCTCTGCGGTCCGCTGCTGTGCAGATGTAAGTGAGGGTTTCCCTCCAGCTCCAGGCTGGTGTGCTGGCCTGCATCTTTTAACCACAAACTCGGTCACCTCTGGGGCCCGAGTTTACTCCACGTTATATACAGGCTACATCAAGGATTAGGAGGCGGTAGGGGCCCGGTAGTGGGTCTCTGCGGTCCGCTGCTGTGCAGATGTATGAGGGTTTCCCTCCAGCTCCAGGCTGGTGTGCTGGCCTGCATCTTTTAACCACAAACTCGGTCACCTCTGGGGCCCGAGTTTACTCCACGTGTGGGAGTGATGGAGAATTTTGTAGTCTTCTGTTGTTTGCGTTGTTTATGCCTTCGTATGTATGGGCGATGCGTCTGGATTATCAGCCCAGGTGGGCCAGGTAGAGTGTGGGTGAATGGATGTGGTTGTGTTGCGCCCAAGGGTCTGCCGCTCACCTGCCTTCCGTGGATCAGGCTTGTCGGTTTGGGCTGCTAACTGCCACTGCCTGAGCTTGTCCCAGAAGTGGTTGAAAATCGCCTCTAGTAGCTGTGATAGGTCAGACTGTTGCTGTTGTAGTGTCGGCAGCATGCTCTGCTGGTGTGTTATACTGTCTGCCGCCATCTTGGATGCGCCTTGTGAAGGACTGCCCCTCCGTGTTTCAGGCTCAGGCTTGTGGTAAGACCTTGACAGGCTGCCCCAGTTGTCCAGTGAGGACCGGGATAACCCCTGCCGGTCCATGGGAGGGGGGTAGGAGTTGAGTGTGTCGAGGGGTCCGTGCGTGACTTTGCCATCGGGGAGAGCGGCCACCTCTCCCAGGCTTGGTCACATGTAGGCCCCGTTTGCTTTTGCGGGTTCCCGGGAAGTGTGCGTCTCTATTTTTGTGTCGTTTGATGTCCCCGGGTTTCCTCAGCATGCCGCATGCCCTCCTTCCGGTAACCACTCAGGTTTTCGGGGTATTTACTCCTGGTTTTGTCGCTTTGGTCAGGAGCTGTTTCTCTGTGCGTCTTTCCAGCTAGGCAGTTAGGCTCTGCCCCAACTATTACTATTTTAACGCTGCCACCACCAAGAAAATGTATAAATGGGGTGCCTTGGTCTCCCAGGTAAATCAATAATAAAAACCCACCAAATATTACTTAGCACAACATCTATGTAATTGCAAAATACTAATTAGTCTGTTCAGGCTCTATGCAAATTACACTTATAGGGTTAGTCACTAAATGAATCCCTGAATGTATCACGGAGAAGTCCAAAGTTAATTTAAACTATTAGCCTAAAATAGCCAAATTGAAAATAAATCTGACTTGGAGAATTTTTCCAATTCGACTGCTCTGGCTGGTCACTGCACACTACCTCTTGTATTATATGAAGCAAGGCATATAATCCTGGGTGTGGGGCTGCACACTACTGGGGATCAAGCATTTCTGCTAAATAATTAGTAAATCGATTAGTGGTGATGCTGGACCTGGTGCCCACTGACTCCTAGCACCATAACTACTTAAGTCAGTTAAAGTGGTTATAGTGCATCTCCCTTTTGCTTCAGTAATACAGCTTTACATAATATCGTGGTATTAGAAATCTGAATATTGAACAGTTTCCAAAAACCCATAATGTGCCTGAGTGTCAAGCACTTTTTTTAATGGAAAAAGTTAAGTTAGCCTGATTGGTTGAGTCACTTCAGGGTTTGGTGAGATTTCATTACAGAAGTTGGACAGATTGTTGTTATACAGCAAATACAGGAATTTCAAGTGTATCTTTTTTATATTTTACTTTTTGCATATTTTCAATGCATTGCCCGGAGACTCCCTATTAATTTATCATAATTTCTTATTTTTATTGCTTGTGCTCACTTGACCCTTTCTTGCCAATGCATCCTTGTTTTACCCCAGGAACAACAGATGCAATGTTTTGTTCTTCGACTATCAGTACAAAATGTATCTTATTCCGCATTATGCAATGCAGTGAAGCAGAGAAACCTGCTATTAAACTGTGTCCTCACATCATCACAGCCTGGAAGTTGTCAGAAGAATGTGTCTGTTTTAATGAACATGTGAGGTTAGAATCCAGCACGGTGACTGTAGAACTTACTTGACTTGTTGCCGTGGTTTGGAATACATGATATGAGCTCGGTTTTATTTCTGTCTATGCTTCTTATTTAGGTATTTGTTTTAGATCTGAGCTTTGTACTGTGGGCCCAGTTTGATAATCTATTGTAAAATGGGGATTATCATTTTAGAGGAATTTTTAGTGTTCTGTTTAATTATTTCCAGTTTTTAAACAAATGTCTTTTTGATATCTGATAAAATTAAATGTAGAAATGCCCTCTGCGTTATTGGTCTCTATTCTGGCATTGAGCACTATTCCTGTCAATCATTGTTAAAAGCTCTGCCGGTCTGTCAGTCAGCATAGAAAGATAAGGGGAAATAGAAACTTCTACTCCAATGCAACATGTGTTCCGGTTTCAGTATTTTTATTTGTTGGTTCCCGTTTTAAATTGTGTAAGTGATCAGCCATCAGGTTTTGCTACAACTCGCCACACCAGAGCTGCAGTGAATTGTCCTAAATCTATCCAGTATCTGGATCAAACAAAATAATGGAGTCAAGGCTCAGCCAGGCCAGACATCAGTGCTATGCATCTTTGTCCACACAAACACAAGTGAAAAGCCTTACATACATAACTAACCACACATGAACCTAACACACTAACACATACTTACACGCAGATTGCTCGCCAGCATGCATACAGAAACAAACACTTGCACAGACATTGACACAAACAGACATGCATATGTAGAACACATTTATAGACACACACTAGCAGACAGACACAACTGTATATATAAAAAGACAATGACACAGATAGTAAACCTACAAAGATATACACAACCATACACACATACAGAATTTATTGAATGTTAGCCTAATAGCCAATACTGTCTGAAAAAGCCTTTTCCAATTAACCAGTCCCAGGGCACTATTTAGAGGGGTGATGGAGGGAATGGTGAGGCAACAATAAAAAGGTCTTTGGGTGGTTCGGTGTATGGACAGGAGGTGCCATCATTGTAGGTGACCGGGACTTCCCATTTAGCATAGTGGAACTCTGCACTGGATTACAGGATGCTCACAGCCCAGTCAAAACGGAACATCCGTACTATGCTAGCTAGACACCTCAAATCCGAGCACCTTTTGGAGAACATAGGTGCTCAGGAGAGAGGTATCCGGGGGTGGCACTGATTTTGAGCATACGGGCACAGGAACTTATATTTTTATGTTGAAATGTTATTCAGCTCAGAAGTGTCCGCTAATAAAACTATTTGGTCCGGCACAGACACCTAGGTACCAGGTATGTAGTAAGACCCATTGTTTTCCTGGGGTCCCAGGTATAAAGGAAGTGACATTCAGGCAATAAAGGCATTCTGATTTCACTCTGACATTAAGCCTCGGCTAATGATTGGGGATGAGCTATAATAACTCTCAGAGCTAATCACTAGGGAGGAAAGGGGACCTTTCCGGTAAGATTCAAGCTACTTGTTGATAGACCGCCACAAATGTTTAATTACCATCCCCTTTCTGCAATTCTCACAGTATTATACACATACCCTTTTGTTAGCGTTTATCTTGCAGGGAGGGGGAGCAGTAGCATCTTTTGGCCTTGAGTACTAACAAGTAAAAAAAAAAAGTGTATTTGCTGGCTACACACTTTTGCCCATTAACCCTTCTTTTTCCAGACAGCAAGCGTATTCAATATATCAGTTGTATTATACTGGTTTGCATGTTAGCATTAAATAACTATTTGGATATTTGACACATTTACATACATACAGACAGATTAACACACACACATCCACATACACAATATTTTATAATATATACAATTACATAAAAAAAAAGTGTTTATAATGTACTTAAACACTGTATAAGTACAGCTGTTTTACAATCTTAGTTTCTTTCCCTAGTGTATAAAATATTAGGGGGGGAGATGTGGGGGTGTGTGCGTGCGCGCGTCCGTCCCAGGGTTCACAAAATAGACAAATTCAACTCCGAAGTTTGACTGACAGGAATAATAGATCACACAGGCCCTGCTCAAATGAGTATAGAATCTAAAAGATATTGTGCACAACTACATAAAAGTGTAATGGTAAAATACTTTGTGTTCAAAATATGAATGGGTTGATTAGTCTGTAAACAGTATTTGAATAATCAAGAGAGTCAGGTTAATGTCACACACACAACTTTTATGAGTACTACTGTTTGTCACATGTATTCATGCATAAACTGTCCCTGGCAGCAGAGAACCACTAACATATCACAGTGTCCTAGGCAGGTTACCAGTTTGGGATCCCCTTTCCATTTGTCACTTTACTAAGGGATGATGAATGGGGCAAAGCAAATTCATATTCAGGCCCCTGATAATCATTGATTGCCTGTCTTTCAAATACTTCTCATTGAGCTGCATTGGGAAGTCTGTGTAATTAGACGGACACAAAGTCTGGTTGGGGTTCGAAGGGGAGAGCTTGCAAAGGCTGCAGATGAGATCTGCAGCTTTTACTAGCTGTTTTTAAATATGACTCCAATAAAAAAATGCATAATGAAATGGACACATGTTTTCACTGGGATTATATCTACTAAACAGTGTTTTGTTTTATTTAAGCAGTGGAGTGTCCCTTTAAACAGGAGGCTGGATTTAAAGATGGCAATGAACACATCTAATTTAAATCACATGAGGGATTTCATTCTTTACTTTAGATACTTGCTTTGTGGTGACCCCCTTCAAACGTTAACACAGTGATTCCTAACCAGTAGGTTTTACTAATACAAAATTATCATGCTAAAAAAAAAAAAAATTAACAACCAGGGGGGAAAAGAAGATTTTTTTATTTATTATTATTATCATAATTGATTGAGCTCTGTACAACCTATTTGGCTGTGTCTGGATCTCCGTTTGTGTCTGCCTAGACAGGCTTAAAATAACTTCTAGAAAAACATTTGCAAAACAACCACAGATGGACACCGCTGAGAGGCTTGAGCTCATGCTGGTGATTTTGTTTTGCTTGAAATGACCATAATTAGTCTATTTAACAAGACATTGACCTTTATTAAAGTGAAGGAAGATGCAGTATTTATCATTGCACATCACGTGACACTGTGTGAAAGGCTCGCTCAGCTCTGATTAGGTTATTGGTGGAACCAGCCAGTATACACAGTTATTGCAGGGGTAGATGGACAGTTTTCTAACCTATATCCTTCATCAAAGAGAACTGGGAACTTACCTTGGAACTCAGATATTTGTGAAGTATATTTCCTGTGATGCCTATACCAAGGTTGCTAAACATCACAGAAAATGTAGATCGCTAGCATCTGACTGCAAAAGCTAGCTATTATTACTCAATGGGTTTTTGGGCTGCTCTTTTTGAGGTACTCATCACTTGTAGTCTGCTACAGAAACAGAATGGCTAACTGAATCTCCCTCCTAATCTTTTTGTTTTAATTCATAAATATGTATCAAAATATAGCATTTTTACTTAGAAAAAGAACTGTATCTTGGGTTCTCTTTTTTGTTTTGTTTTTATTAGTAGAATTTGACGGCCATCACTTTGAGAAGAGTGAATTTGTTTGCTGTAAAACATTATTAACTTTGGTCATTTTCCCCCAGGCTGTCTGAGCCCTTGGGCTTTTTCCCAGGAAGCGTTTGTGTGCATTTGCCATGGGCAACCCTACTGATGGAGAAGAGGTTTATGTAGCTGTTATTCGACCAAAGAATGCTGGAAGCCTCAGCTCTCGAGATTATCGAGCAAAGCTATATGAAGTAAGGACAGGGCCTACTCTATTATTCGATTTTTAGAGAAAACTCCAGCACTATAAAATGAAGGGTGGTGTGCAGGATCAACCGCCAGTGGTCAGTTGGTGCTACTTTGTTGAAAGCATTTTTAAAGCTTTGTGTAAGAGCCGCCCTCAAGATAAGACTGTGTGGATTTGTCTCTAAGCAAGGTATTGTGGAGCACTGACCAAAAAACAGAAATTGAACATTTTTGACTAAAATAACCACACTTGGAAAAATTGTAATGCTATGATTCTGGCTTTAAATGCCCTTTGTTTTTAATTTCTCACAGTCCAGGGCACATTATGCAGTGTTATCATACCCTCTATCAGTCACACCACTCACACCTAGTGTCAGGGAAGCAATAAGACAGAAGTGTGAAATGGTAAATAGGTTAATAACTGCACAGCCAGACAAAGCAAGGGTTTCTGGGAGTTGTAGTTTATCTGCTTTCTCGTTATGGAAGATATTAGCTTAGCTACAACTTGCAAGAAAACTTTGCTGTGCTTTCTGATAGCACGAAACAATTGCATCTCTGGAGAAACACTGCAGGTTAGGAGGGAGGGACAGAAATAGGATTGGGGAGCCGTGACATCCTTCAACTACTACAGTAACAAGCAAGAAGAAAGTATTTTAAAACATATTTCTTTTAAATTAATGCTTTGAGCAACAGCACATTTTTTTGTCCAAATGAATGCTAGAAAATTGTTGCCACGTTTTTTGTTTCTCCTGATTTGTAGATATTAATGATTGAGGTACCAGTGGAAGGCCAAAAGAAAAAACGGAGGAAGAATCTATTAGAGACTAAACTCCAGGGAGAAAAGGACACGTCACAGGAAATACTGGACTATGTTTTAGAGTCCACCAAACTTATTTCACCTTCAAATCAAGGTGTTAAAGGCAAGTACAATACTACTTGTTGGCAATCTTGAGGGTAGATTTCTTTTCGTCATAACATACATTTTAATGCAAAACGCATTAGAGACGTTTTTCCATTGTACGTCAAAGTATGGATTCGTCTGAGCAATAAAGAACGGGATTTATTGGATCGAGCAGCAGATTTAATTTCTTTGGTGGATCGTTGCATCCTTTTCCCATTAATTATCTATTTGTGTTATAACTAACACACCTTGCAACTTAGGTAGATAACTATTTAAAAGCGCAAGCCTTATCTGTAAGGACATGTCTCAGTCAGTCGATTACTTCAGAAGTTGTATGACAAATACTAATGATGGACATTGCCACTTTCCTACCAACACATTATTAGCCATAACACATAATGTAGTGACAATTCCTGATAAATATTGCCTTAATTACCAAATCTGGCAGTCTTACAGTCACGCGTACACAGTGATAGATAAAACTACAGTATACTTGAATTTATCACTGAGATATCTGCTATGTACTAAACAACACAAGTAGCCAAGCAAACAGGCAGGCTATATATCTGTCTTGAGATGATAGCAGCTAATGAAAAATAAATTTTACTGACTTCTTTTACATGTTTATTTTATATAATGGATTTCTACAGCAATCCATAAAGATCAGCCCTCTGAAACAGGGGTAGGGTGGAATGTAGAAGCATGCTTGACAAGTTCAGCAATATATCATTTTTTTGTAATATCTTTTTCACCCTTGGTGTCTTTGCATGTGTAGGTAAAAGAGTTGTATTGATGAAAAAATTTCAACTTGATGGAGAAAAGACTGGCCGGGAAGCGGGTCTTTTTCTAGTCCCCACGGCTGTTAAAGGTACCTTTTTTTTTTTGTCTACACACACAGAGTTCCATAGGTAATGCTGGTTCGCCTTTGCACTCCACATATTGTTCTCTTCATTTCATCATTTCCCATGATGCTCCATAACCTGTTTGGCTTACTAAGCATCATGGGAAAGGTAGACCACTGCAGGCAGCTAAGTTGCCCAAGGATGGCCATCACTCTGCACACAGTTTGTTGACTTCTTTGTACTTAAAAGGTGTGTCAAGCAGGTAAAATTAAGGGTAATGGTTAAATTTGATGGTTATTTTTAATTTTTTGTTGTTGCTTTTTTTCCAAGAAAATGTGAAGAGCACTTGTAACCCAGGAACTCCGGTTTTCTACTGTCTGCAAGATATCATGAGGGTCTGCAGTGAATCAAGTACTCATTTTTCCACAATTACAGCCCGGATGTTAATTGCTCTAGATAAGTAAGCTGTATTTTTATTTTTTTGACAGAAAGCAATGTATTGTATGTGTTTCATTCCTGATATCAATCTGATTTTTTTTTTAATTTTTTTTAATTTTTTTTATTGAATTTAATATAATTCCTTCTAATATGGTTGAGCATGGATGTCAATAAAGGTGTCTATGCTTTGCCCTCGGGCTCTTTCTGGCTCGGGCTCTTTCTGGCTTTCTGGCTACAATATATATTTCTCTGCCACCCGGCAAATTATGTGAGCTGTGATCTATTGATAGATGACAGGAGGACACGGTCGGATACACAGTGGAGATGGATCACTTTGTCCAATGCCAAATTAGCCAACTGAACTCTAAAGCTCCTCTGTCATGATTTTCCTCTTCTTAGAATAAAATTATTTGGAAAATATACACCAATACATGGATGCCAAAAATTGGAAGAGCATTGCATCTATGCATAAAGAAATTCAGTGTTTGGTAGATGGACCATTGTGCTGGTGGTCACCGTTTAAAAAAAGCCAACCTTTGTTCAGACCAAAAATTCCTTCTTGGATATAGTCCTTCATAAATGAGGGCAGACTAAAAGGGAACCGTCTGTCGTGTCACAGGAGCCGGACTGTGAATAATAGCATAAACTTGACACATTTCAGTCTAGCACTTCATCAAAGGCATAATTAAACATGTAAACCCCATCATAGATTGTGGATGTCTGTATTCCAGCAAGGATTTGTTGAGAAAGTGGATTGTATAAACTTTTTTAATAATATTGAGGATATAGAGCAGGGCCACTAAACCTTATTTAATGACACAGGATTGGGAAAAAACAGGTACGAGAAAGTAGCCGTATGCAATAAAATATGTATCTAGATAGAACGAAAGTCATTAAGGATTATGGTGGGATTCATATTTAATTAAATCCGTTAATAATGGTGATCAGGTTTAAGCTAGTGTGATAATTCGTAAATGGTTTCTTTATAACTGTGATCACAGACTAACCTAAGCTGTTCGTTGATTACTTTTCCCATGATGCTCAGCAAGTGTTAACGTTCAGCATCACAGTTTCATGGTAATTGCTCACATGGTATTTTGTTTCTATACAGGTGGTTAGAAGAACAGCATACCCAGTCCCATGCCATCTCTGCTTTGTTCAGGCCTTCGCCTCTAGAGAGGATTAAAACCAATGTAACGAACCCTGCGTATACCACAGAATCTTCCCAGTCTGAGCATTCCCTGCACATGGGCTATACCGCTCTGGAGATAAAGAGTAAAATGATGGCCCTGGAAAAGGCTGACCTGTGTATCTACAATCCTTTGTTTGGGTCTGATCTTCAGTACACAAATAGGGTAAAGTGCCTACAATGTTTCCATCATAAAATGTTCAAATATAGAACATGAAAAGGGAACGTGCGGAGGTGACATGTAATGAATAAGAACAATGCAAGAGTTTATGTATGGGAAAAAAAAAGGGGGGGGGAGAGAGAGAGAGCGTGTGTGTTTGTTTTGCGAGAGTTAAAATACACTTGGCTGGAAAATTTAACAAATATTTGCATTCTCTTTACCTACCTACCTATATATAACCTTTTTTTTTTTTAAATATATATATGTAAGTTTGCTAATGATAAAACAATAAAATGCAATATTAAAGGGACACTCCGGGCACCCAGACCACTTCTGCCCATTGAAGTGGTCTGGGTGCCAGCTCCCATCACCCTTAACCCTGCATGTGTAATTATTGCAGTTTTTACCTTGCAGGGTTAAGTCCTCTTCTAGTGGCTGTCTATGAGACAGCCAGTAGAGGGACTTCCGGGTTCTTAAACGACTTTTTGGTCGCTTAAACATGCTGGACGTCCTCACGCTATGCGTTGCCTCCAGCATCGCCGGAATCCCCATAGGACAGCATTGAATAATGCTTTCCTATGGGAGCTCTAATGCGTGCGTGCGTGCGTATACGGCGCATGCGCAATAGGTCTTCCCCGCTGGCAGACATCAGGTATGTGTCGGAAGGAGTTTTAATCCCTACAGCAACATGGGGTGGGGGACAGGAGGGAAGGGGGCACTGTAGGATTCTCTAGTGCCAGGAAAACAAGTTTGTTTTCCTGGCACTGGAGAGTCCCTGTAAACAACTGATTTAGAAAATCAAGGTTAATATACAGATTATTAATTACTTGTTAATCCAGAAAGAAATCATGTTTTAATCAAACAATTTTTCTGTGTCTTTAGTTAAATTTGTAAATATCTTCAGTGTGTTTCTTTTGACACATTTTAGATCAACATTAGCAACAGCAGTATGTGCAAAGCTGAACTGTACTGATTTCAGTATTTTTTAAAAGTAGATTGTAGTGGTACTCTGCTGTGGACATCACATGCTTTTGTGAGATAAATATTTTTCGTTTGATGTTCTAGGTTGACAAAGTGGTTATAAACCCATACTTTGGACTTGGAGCTCCCGATTATTCAAAGATACAGATCCCAAAAAGAGAAAAATGGCAAAGAAGCATGAGCAGTGTCATGGAAGACAAGTATGTCATGTTATGTCATTGTAATGAATCTTATTTTCAACTTGCTGAATTAGCTTAATAGAATAGAGTAACGGTGTCTACTCTATTTAGCATTCGATAGTGTGCCATAGGGGAAATCCAGCTTAGAAGTGACCGATTTTATGCAATAAATATCTGCAAAAAAAAGTAGTAATAAAGAGAAAGCTTTAAAGTCCATGCATTTGCTGGGTTTTCATCTTCTGCAGTGAGATCTTTACAGACCAAGAAATGGATCAACGAATCAGAAGGCTTCCAATTCATTGAGCCTACATTGCGCGAGGGATTGCGGGATGTACAATTAAGCACTTGGCAGCATTTTTATACATTATCAAAGCCTAGCGGATCACAGCTGCTTGGCAATTTATCATCTTTAGCAACAGCTCCGTTCACAGAATTGTGGAGCTGTAGGATGCAATTCTACATTTTTATTTACATCTAACCTGTTCTTTGTTATTGCTCTGCAGGGAGCGCCAGTGGGTTGACGACTTTCCTTTGCACCGCTGTGCCTGTGAAGGCGATACAGAACTGCTTGGCCGGTTACTGGATAAGGGCTTTTCAGTAAACCAGTTAGACAATGATCAGTGGGCACCAATTCACTATGCATGCTGGTGAGTAGCAACACGGCTCGGATAGACATAGATTTATTTTGCAAGGCTTTTTTTTTTTTATTTTTTTTTTTTTTATGAAGTATATAAAACAAAAAAAACATGAGCTCATATGAAACTAAAAAACAACATACAACAAATATTTGATGTAATCATTAAAAGCTTGCTGTCTGAGCTTTCAACACTAGCACTGCAAAGTTTTGTTTTTTAAATTGCATATTGATTGACCACTGTGTGACCTCAGCGTTGATATAGCTTTATGCATTCTGAATTTTAATATAAATCATGTTTGAATTCCCAGTAGGATGGGAAATGATATTCATGCCATGTATATGCTGATACATTTTATTAGGTGCTATTGATCGTGAATATAAAATTAAGGATTTCCCATTGCAATGTCATTATTCTTTGTTAAACAATGAGCTTCCATTTGCATTTTTTCAGTAATTGCTCATCAGAGCTGTCCAATCGTCTTTATTTAATACACTTTTAAAATGAACATATTTCCAACAATGCAAAGCAGTTAAGACGTTAGTGATTTAGGAACAAACCATACGACCAATTTGCTTTTGGTTGTTTAGAGATTGAATCCATCTTTGTATATTGATTTAGCTAGATCTGAAAACAAAATGAGACTGATTAGAGATAGGACAGTTTGCTGATAAAATTCAAGGGTTTAAGTTTTTATGTGGGCCGCAAAAAAAAACAACTTAAATTTTCATAGAAATATAGGTTTATTTTGAAAAGTACAGTATTAAAAATAAAATAAAAAAACACAGCACCCCCCTCTACTAAATCTCATTCCCCCCCGATATACTAAATCCCAGCACCCCCTTCACTAAATACCAGCACCCCCCTGTAGCCACTCACATTGGCGCTGCCAGTATGCCACTCTGGAGTACGGCCTCTGGTATATCCCAAATGGCGCTGTCCACACCCTGTGCCAAAGCGGATCCTCCCGCTGCTTCTTGAAACCCTGTGAAGGTGGAGCACGTCAATGTCTCGTTGGAATTTGACATGGCGTTGTGTGCCTCAAGGTCCTCCACTGTCCAGCCACGGCTATTGCAACACTGACTGACACAGACACTCAGGCACTCACTGACAGACACACAGACATACAGACAGACACATACTCACACACATACACACACACACACACATACATTTACACATTCTTGCACACACTCACATCATTGTATTTATCCCAGGGGTCCAGTGGGGATCTTCAATCTGGAGATCTCCTTACTGCTGTTCACTGTTCCTTTATGCAAGCAGTTTAGTGATGCCGAGTGCCAGAATATGATGTAATTTTTCTGGCACCCGGCATCACTACAGATGGCGATGGAGCAGTGAGGAGCAGGAAGACTGAGCTCCTCCAGTGACCTCTCCTCCCGGGCGAGTAAATTTTAGCAGAGTAGGCACCTGCAATGTAAAGAAAGCAGGTGCCTACTCTGCTTTAACACTAAGCATGTACTCTCAGCTCACCGGGACTCAAAGATGTCCATTGTGGGCCGCGAGTTTTACATGCTTGACTTACATGGTTAGAAAATGTACAGACCAAAAAGTTTATGGGGGTTGTCCCATCTATAATATATGCATTAATTGCTAAATTGCTGTGAGTGAGTGCATGCATTTTGGATGCATGTAAGTTGAATCATAGGTGAACACAATGTTGATACCTGTCCACTGCATTGTGGGTAAATGCACAGACTAAAGTGCGTGACTTATTTCCCATGGTTTATTATTGGCTTCCAGGGCAGCCTTGTTTTACTGAACTGTGAACTATTTTCCTTAGCAACTGCTGAGTTAATCTGCTCAGTGCTATTAGTTCTAAGGGAATTGGCTGTCCACAGGCTATTAAATCTCTAACAACTGTAATGTATGTTTCCACTTTAGAATGAAAGGTGTTCTTTTCACATTCTTACTTTTACCTCCCTAAGGTATGGCAAGGTGGAAGCCACGAGTATGCTCCTAGAGAAAGGAAAGTGTAATCCTAATTTGTTAAATGGCCAGCTCAGTTCCCCTCTTCATTTCGCTGCCGGGGGAGGTCATGCAGAAATCGTACAGATTCTATTGAATCACCCCGAAATAGACAGGGTGAGTTCTTTAATAATGTTTTACTATATTTGCAGTCCCTTTTCAGTAGCATTCTACAAGAACCTTCTTCTCATTATCCCTTTGAATTCATATATCCTTCATCGTTGACATGATTCAATTACATTTTAATGTATTCTACCTCCTCTGTGGGCAATGGCAGCAAGATCAACATCTTGGAATTGTACTGGAATTGTCCTCCTCATATTCAGTAAGAAGTAAAAAAAACTATTTTTAGGGACTCTGGCAACCAAACTTTTTTGACCTGTTCTCTTTGTAGTTTTAATATGCAATTAGCATCTCATTAATAGAGTTTTCATATACACATCCATAGAGTAATTCATGGGCTCCTCTTTAGTCTATCAAAACAAGTCTGTGTTTTGCAGTTCTTTAACATCTTGTGAACTCACCGATTTATTTCAGCACGTCTCTGACCAGCAAGGACGTTCTCCCCTAGACATCTGTGAAGAGAACAAGCAGAGCAAGTGGGAAGAAGCTGCCCAGCTGTTACAGGATTCAATGAACAAGCCGGTATGTTGCTTGACATTGTTATTTATAATCCATCAACGTATTCCGCAGTGAGCGGGGACAGTGCATGTGAGTACTTGCAACACGAATAGTTAGATTTACAGTTGTAGGTGTTTGAGTATGTAATAGCTCCCCCAGGCATTTTTAGAATCTCACGATAGTAAATTTATATATATCTGCAGGCGACTGCAAATGCAGTCGATAGTTTACAATTTACTCGAAGCTGGCCTTTTTTTAATAGGAAACTATAGCAAATAGCGTCCATGTTGTTTATTTGTACTTGTAACTACCCTTACCTGTGTTTGTTTGTAGAAGCTCCAGGAAACCACAAAAGAACCTGCAGCCTCTTTGCAGATTACTGACCATTACATTTATATTATTATTTCCAACCAATTGGCTAGTTCCTTACCGTGCAGTGAAGATAATCTCCTTCAGACAACCTCAGTTATCCAAGTGAGATTTATTATCCTGGTTAAACATCCAGCCAGCACCCAGGCCACTGATTGCTAGTCTCGGTAACACAGAAGTTTCAGAACACCACTTCTTGACAACTAGTTGTGCATGATGGCCATTGTAAGCTTAGGTTGTGATCGCACATCCAGTCCCAAGATTCCCAGACACCATGTAACACTATTTTACTATTAATATATTGAAGTGTTCTGTTTCAAGGTTATACATAGTTTATCACTCACTCCACTGTGCTCTATGCTCTGATCCCTGCAGAGTATGTTGATGAACATGTTTGTCTATGATTGCTTCTGTCATGCTTGAAGATACACTGTTATGATCAAAGGTCCTGTGGGATATTTAGAGTTCTAGAAAATTCAGTGCTCAGATGGTGTACCTGCACGTCTGCTGACAGTCTATAATTTTTTAAAAGCCCTGGTATGTGAATGGAAAAAAATAGAGAATATAATTTTCAAATGTTTTTAATATTCATGTGATTAACTATAAAAAACATGTTAATTTTTATTTTTTCTTCGTTTTCTGAGACATAGGTAGAGCAAGAGGGATCTGATGATACAATAACATGTAGCAACTAGTGTAATACATACACTGCTCAAAAAAATAAAGGGAACACAAAAATAACACATCCTAGGTCTGAATCAATTAAATATTCTTCTGAAATACTTTGTTCTTTACATAGTTGAATGTGCTGACAACAAAATCACACAAAAATAAAAAAATGGAAATCAAATTTTTCAACCCATGGATGTCTGGATTTGGAGTCACACTCAAAATTAAAGTGGAAAAACACACTACAGGCTGATCCAAATTTGATGTAATGTCCTTAAAACAAGTCAAAATGAGGCTCAGTAGTGTGTGTGGCCTCCACGTGCCTGTATGACCTCCCTACAACGCCTGTGCATGCTCCTGATGAGGTGGCGGATCGTCTCCTCCTGAGGGATCTTCTCCCAGACCTGGACTAAAGCATCTGCCAACTCCTGGACAGTCTGTAGTGCAATAGTGGATTGAGCGAGACATGATGTCCTAGATGTGCTCAATTGGATTCAGGTCTGGGGAACGGGCGGGCCAGTCCATAGCAACAATGCCTTCGTCTTGCAGGAACTGCTGACACACTCCAGCCACGTGAGGTCTAGCATTGTCTTGTATTAGGAGGAACCCAGGGCCAACTTCACCAGCATACGGTCTCACAAGGGGTCTGAGGATCTCATCTCGGTACCTAATGGCAGTCAGGCTACCTCTGGCGAGCACATGGAGGGCAGTGCGGCCCCCTAAAGAAATGCCACCCCACACCATTACTGACCCACTGCCAAACCGGTCATGCTGGAGGATGTTGCAGGCAGCAGAACGTTCTCCACGGCGTCTCCAGACTCTGTCACGTCTGACACATGTGCTCAGTGTGAACCTGCTTTCATCTGTGAAGAGCACAGGGCACCAGTGGCGAATTTGTAAATCTTCTAACGTGTTCTCTGGCAAATGCCGTCCTGCACGGTGTTGGGCTGTAAGCACAACCTCCACCTGTGGATGTCGAGCCCTCATACCACCCTCATGGAGTCTGTTTCTGACAGTTTGAGCAGACACATGCACATTTGTGGCCTGCTGGAGGTAATTTTGCAGGGCTCTGGCAGTGCTCCTCCTGTTCCTCCTTGCACAAAGGCGGAGGTAGCAGTCCTGCTGCTGGGTTGTTGTCCTCCCACGGCCTCCTCCACGTCTCCTGATGTACTGGCCTGTCTCCTGGTAGCGCCTCCATGCTCTGGACACTACGCTGACAGACACAGCAAACCTTCCTCCCACAGCTCGCATTGATGTCCTGGATGAGCTGCACTACCTGAGCCACTTGTGTGGGTTGTAGACTTCTTCTCATGCTACCACTAGAGTGAAAGCACCGCCAGCATTCAAAAGTGACCAAAACATCAGCCAGGAAGCATAGGAACTGAGAAGTGGTATGTGGTCACCACCTGCAGAACCACTCCTTTATTGGGGGTGTCTTGCTTATTGCCTATAATTTCCACCTGTTGTCTATCCCATTTGCACAACAGCATGTGAAATTGATTGTCATTCAGTGTTGCTTCCTAAGTGGACAGTTTGATTTCACAGAAGTGTGATTGACTTGGAGTTACATTGTGTTGTTTAAGTGTTCCCTTTATTTTTTTGAGAAGTGTATATTGTGTATTTAATACTGATACAGTAGTATCACATGATCCTGGGCGTAATGTCAATGTCTTGGATATATCCAGATACATCAAATATATTTCACAATATCATTTCACAGTTCTCCCACTAGAGAGCGCTGTGTCTAACAATTATTTCTACTTTAAAAGCTAGCTACATGTCTAAATATATGTAAAAAGAAACAAAACAACATTTATTAAACAGGAATACAAAAAAGTAAGGTAATTCATTGTCACTGTTTGACAATTATGTGTTTTCTGAAATTTGATATTGTGAAAGAGATTGTGTGTTATAAAAATAGCGTACATTTACCTTTGGGGATATAAGCATTACAAAATGTTTCAATTCCATGTATAAACTGGCATTGTGAGAGTTCTCACAAATCTGACAATTTCAATGGGTAAAGCTAGTTTTGTTAAAGTGCAATCCAGGCAAAATGGTGCCGATCCCTTAAAGTGCTTACAATTTTAGTTTCCAAGCATTCTTTCAATTTTAGAAACTAAATTACAGAAATTAAAGGGACACTATAGTCACCTGAACAACTTCAGATTAATGAGGTTGTTCAGGTGAGAACTATAGCTCCCTGCAGCGTTTCTCACGTAAACACTGTATTTTCTCAGAAAATACAGTGTTTACATTGAAAGCTAGGAACACCTCCACTTGCAGTCACTCAGAGTGAACCAGAGGGACTTCTGAGTTGATGGAGGCATGATATGCCTCCATCCACTCAGATCTGCTGTGCACGAGCATCCTGTGATTCGGTATCTCCTCTCACTGCATGCAGACACTGAACTTTCCTCATAGAGATTCATTGATTCAATTCATCTTTATGAGTAGATGCTGATTGGCCAGGGCTGTGTTTGAATCATGCTGGCTCTGCCCTTGATCTACCTCCTTGTCAGTCTCAGCCAATCCTATGGGGAAGCACTGTGATTGGATCAGGCTATCACATGTCAGCAAACTGCTTGTTTTTCCTGAGTCTCCGCATGCAGATTTACTGCTTCTGGCTTGAATACAGTAAGATTTTTACTATATTTATGGAGGCATGAGGGGCCCAGGGGGGCTAGATGGTCGTGTTAACACTATATGGTTAGGAATACATGTAGTTGCACTGGTGACTATAGTCACTAGAGGCTTTAGAGGCCGAATTAACCCTCAGTGTAAACATAGCAGTTTCTCTGAAACTATGTTTATAAAAAAAAAAGAAGAAAAAAAAAAAGGTTAACCCTAGCTGGACCAGGCGCCCAGACCACTTCATTAAGCTGAAGTGGTATGGGTGCCTATAGTGGTCCTTTAATGAATTGAGATTTTGATTTATTTAAATGACATATATTTGTTATTTGGGGAGGATTTCACTTTTTCTGCATAAATAGCCATGTTGGGCCTGACTCTATGACCAGCTGCTACTCCGTCTAACTCACCTGATGTTGTAGTTACACATAGAGCAATCACAGCAGCAGGCTAGTTAGATTGATCAGCAGTCAGATAGATATCCATAGAGTCTCACCAAATATGACTGCTCAGCCCAAAAAAAGAGAAATGTTATTTAAAAAAAATAATAAAAAAAATGTCATTCAATGTAATAAACTTTTTTTTTTTTTTTTTTTTAGTAAACCAGTGTGAAAACGTGAGGACTTTTGTCCCTTACTCTTGCTGTCGTTGGTGCCAACCTATTATTAAGTGTTACAGGCCTTGATCAACAATCTGGATCTCTTTCCATCTATTAAGCAGTTAATTATTTGCAGCAACGTAGCCCATTAGGGATACATTTGTCTCAGTTTAAATACTACAGAAATAGTCTCAGTTAGGAAAAAGCATCTGTCTAACTATTGTATTGTCTAGTCTAATGTACAATTGCATCTTGACCGTGAGAAGTACTGTTTCCACTCTCTACAAATTTAACCCCTTAAGGACCAAACTTCTGGAATAAAAGGGAATCATGACATGTCACACATGTCATGTGTCCTTAAGGGGTTAAAATAACAAAGTTGTAAGATAAGAGTGCCGGTATATCATTGAAACATTTAGTTGTTTTCTTTCTCCATGCAGTATTGATTACTGCGTACCCCTATAGCAGGTTCTTGCCAGCATCCTCACCTTCTATCAAAATCTACCATATCAACCAGGGGTACATCCAAGCACTACTAACACAAATAAAATAGAGTCAAATATATTTTGTAACATATACTATGTGAACAGTCTCTCATAAATAAAGGAGTATTTGATCATTGTGATACAATCGTATAGAAAATGCGAAACAAATCTAATTATCGGACATTTTGTGTGTGCAACACTTAATGGCCTTTAACTCTGTTAGTCTCAAGGCAAAATCACATCAGCTTAAACTGCTTTGTTGTTTTTTTTTTCCAGTTCACAACTTATTTTTCACAATTTGCATTTCTTAAAATCTATCTCCCCCTCCCGCTTTTTCTGGTCTTTCAGGTCATTGTCCACTCGATGCACTAACAGCCATTAGAGGCTGATCTTTTGTTATTTTAAGGTCCTCGGGGGCTAGGGAATCACATCATATTTTTCAAAAGTTTTTAAATTACTATTCTAGCACATTTCTATTCCTAGGTGCAGACCCTAAAAGTGTTAGTATATATGTATATGAAAAAGAGGAGCCATGCAATGCATTCTGTAAAATAATCCAAACTAGTTTTTTGGTTATTACGTATGTTTATACATAATGTCTCTAATTTCTGGGTTCTGTTTTTGTTTTTGTGGTAGTATGAAAAAGTGCGTATATATCGAATGGACGGGTCATACCGCTCAGTGGAGCTGAAGCATGGCAATAATACGACGGTACAGCAAATCATGGAGGGAATGCGTCTTTCACAAGAGACCCAACAGTACTTCACCATTTGGATCTGTTCAGAGAATATCAGTAAGCATGGTTCTTCAAAATGTCTAATTTAGACCAAAATAACCAAAAAGAACACGTAGAGAGACACTCTAACACAAACAATCACTGATTTGGTAGCTATACCTCCTAACAAAACCAATCTTTCTAGTTCAGTCTAAAATTAGCAATTTGCCCTGAATTCATGACCGTTCACACTTGAGTGAATAAACCTTCCAGATTTTATGATTGAAGACAAGTCTTGAAAATATTGAACATTTAATATTGGATTTACAAAAAAATTATAATCACAAGACATGCTTTGTTTATTGCTTTAAAGGAACACTCTCAAAGCACCATAACCACTTCCGAACACTGTAGTAGTTATGGTGCTTGGAATGTTCCATTCATACATATTCCTTTTTAATTATGTGTTTGTTTTTTTTCCTTTCCTAAGGTCTTCAGTTGAAACCATTTCACAAACCTTTGCAGCATATCCGAGATTGGCCAGAAATCGTTTGTGAGCTGACCAACCTAGATCCACAAAGAGAGACTCCGCAACTCTTTCTTAGGAGGGATGTGAAACTTACTCTAGACATAGAGAAAAAAGTAAGATATGCTTTTTAATGAATATAAACCATTTAAGAACACATAACACCAAATCAGAAATATTGGCTTACAGTCCTTAAGTAAGACTTATTTTGTTGTTTTGGCTTTGTGCTCCAGTACATCGATTTCAAAATGGAGTGAAAACTGTAGGCTGGCACTGCAGCCTGGGACGAACTCCCTGCCAACGCTAGTGCAGAAGGTCTGTAATGAGTCGAACTCCTTAGCTGACTCCTTTATAAATGTAAATTAAATATTTTTCAACTAATAAAAAATACGATTTGCACAGTAAATATATAATCCTTTGTTCACCCAATCTGCAGCTGGCATATTCAGTATAGACCTTGATCTTGTTGTGTTTTATGTACTTCGTTCAGAACCAAAAATGCAGATTAAGCAGTAAAATCAAAGTGACTGTTTGCAAAGAAAACATGGTAATTATGGTATAAAAGAAGCCAGTGAATCTTATGTGTTGTCGCATCTGATGTGGAAACTACCAAGCCACACTTTTGTTCATTCAAGACCATAATTGGTGACTGAGTAGATGGGTAATCTAAATATCAACATAACAATGACAAGCTGTCTGCAGATTTTATTTAGTATAATTTGATGTAGTAATGGCCTAAGTAGAGGAAAACCGCTATCTCGCAGTCAATGAGGTTATTGTATCCATTGGAACGTGATGTTTGATGAAAGGCCTGTACATAACAATAACAAGGTTGTGTAACCTGAGTGGTATCAAGTGGATGTTTGTGTAAGAGACTGAACTTGGTCAGGTGTCCTGGCTCGGGAGTGAAATTGAGCGCATAGCCGAGGGGAGATGGAGCAAAATGTAATATATAATATGCGTTTAATTTAAGATTTAGGAGCAAAAAGAAAAATTTAAATTGTTAAAAAGGGAAGACCTGTGTGAGGACGACCGTAATTCCCATGATCCTCTATTAACCAGGAGGGACTTGGACATGTGTTCCTTCATACCCTAGGCATGCAGAGGTATGCGAGGGTTAAAAGTGTGGCTTGGAATACCCAGAGAGCTGTCCCCTTTAACACATGCCCTGGTAGCACAGGCACACTCTCCCTCGCCCTAACGGCTACAACTCTAGACTCCCCAGGTACGACAGGGCAAGCTGGAGGGACCCAGATAGGACCCAGGCTCAAACTGAGTGCAAATTTGTTGGCGCTATATAAATAATAACATAATAAAAGGGACTCCAGCTCCCAGTGTAATTATTTTTATAATGATATTTGGCTAATGGCTACTTGCTTGGCCAGCTGGCAGACAATACATAATATTTTAGTCTCAAAAGCCACCTACCATAATAACAAATAATTAAATCAAAGTATATCAGAATTCCAATGGTCAGAAGCAACAGGTCATTAGAATTATATCCTTCCCAGCATACTCTTGTTGATCTGTGATTTATAAAATAGAATTCTACAATTCTTTCAGTGATTCCTGTCCCAGGTCTGAAAGCCAACAAACAGTCCAAATGTTGCCAGTATTCCCTAAAAAGAGAATTGTCAGACGGCTAAATCCTGGATAGCTGCATTGCATCACAACTGGGTTGGAAACCCGCTGCAATAGAAAAAAAAAAAAATCATAATTCAGCCATAGTACTGCTGTATCCCATAATACGCCCTGTTGGCAAAACATTTGACCGTTTGTGTCTTCTGATCTCTTTTTTAAGATTGAAGACCCTCTTGCTATTCTCATCCTTTTCGATGAAGCCCGGTACAACCTCCTCAAAAGTTTCTATCCAGCACCAGATGCAAAACTTATCACTCTAGCCAGCCTTCTCCTCCAGATAGTCTATGGGAACTACGAAAGCAAGAAACACAAGCAAGGATTCTTAAAGTGAGTTTCGTCTACCACTATTGGTCCAGATCGCAACTGTATCTTTATTTACCAATATGTTTTGGGAGATTGGGGGCGGGTTTCTCCTGAATTTATTATTTGTGATATTACAATTTTTTGTTTCAGTGAAGAAAATCTAAAATCTATAGTACCGATCACTAAAGTAAAGAGCAAAGCACCGCATTGGACAAATCGAATTCTGCATGAGTATAAGGTGTGTGTGTGTATATATAAATCCAAGTGTTTATTTGTTCTGATGCTAAACTGATGGCTTTATAGAATATATACAACTCTGTTTGTTATCCTCGCGTTGATCCTATGCTTACTTAAAGAAACACTATAGCTCTAGGAAAACAAACGTATATTCCTACTGCTATAGTGCCCTTCTAGGTAGTTAGGTTAGAGCGACAACCACTATAGGCATTTGACCCTTTCCTGACGTAAGGGAGTGCTATGGCATCCTTCAAAAGGAGGGCAATAACGCTGTTATGGCGGCATAGCACTCCCTAATGATGTGGCCCTCCTTGGCAATCGCAATCAGGGGACCTGTCTGACAACCCACACAGTCCCACTGCAGCCACTCCGGCTGATCCTGATCTTTTCCATTGATGGGTGCAATGTTTCCTTCCAGTCACCGTGTTTTCCCTAATGATACTTCATCCCATCCTATACTGTACTGTTTCAAATGTGAAGCATTCCAGTCTTCTATTGATATTAAGTGAATTGTTTTTCTGCGCATCAGACATACTTGTTTATAGTCATACTTTTATATATAAACTATGTATTTTGCATATATGAAATATACAAATATAATTAACTTTGTTTATTATTATATTACGTTTTATATATATATTATTTATTTTCTATACACACACATGCTAAAATGACAATCTTAAAATAGTGCAAAACAATAAAAATTGTATACATTATACTTCTGCGTTATTCTTTTGGTCACTGTGAGTGTTACTGATTTAATCAGCAATACCAAAGGAAGCAAAGCTTTCATTGTGATTTCTTCATTTCTTTAGAATTTGAGTATGAGTGAGGGTGTGAGCAAAGAGATGCATCACATGCAGCGGATGTTTCTCCAGAATTGCTGGGACATTCCCACATATGGAGCCGCATTCTTCACGGGCCAGATTTTCACAAAGGCCAGTTCTAGCAACCATAAAGTTATCCAAGTGTACGTTGGAGTCAACACAAAAGGCCTGCATCTGCTTAATCTGGAAACCAAGGTAACATTGATGCCATAACTTGTCTTTGTCTTGAAGGGCCATTCCAGGCACCAAAATCTTTGTCTTCCATAAATAATTGCTGCTTAGCTGTAGGATTTCTTTCCATGTGCTTACTGTCATTTCAGTGAGGAATACATTCTGCAACAGTGTTACAGCTTTGATACCTTTGAAAGGGACACTCCAGGTGACATAACCACAACGAGGCCAAATGCTATCAAATAAAGTTATTTTGGTGCTTGGAGTGTACTTTAAGTTGCATTCATATGCTTTTACGTCCATAAATCCAAGTAATAATGATGCAAAATAAACCATTAACTTAGAAACCTGTTAATAGAGGTTTTGTTTTCAGTTGTTGCATTATGGTACTATCCACAAATAAATTGTGCAGCAGATGTAAAGACTTAAAGAGATCTGGACATTGCTTAATTAAGGCACCTTAATTGAATGTACCTAGTTGATGTCTATCTTATGGCATTTTATAATGTAACTTATATTCCAGATACACACTGTATTAGGTCTTAGATTAAAGGGACACTGTAGGCACCCAGACCACTTTATCTCATTGAAGTAGTCTGTGTGCAGTGTCCCTGTCCTCTTAACCCTTCAATCTAAAACTGCAGTTTCAGAGAGACTTCAATGTTTTCATTGCAGGGTTAAGCCTGCCTCTAGTGGCTGTCTACCAGACAGCCCCTAGAAGCGCTTCCTGTCCTTTCACAGAGTTTGACTCTGTGAAACAACTCTGGATGTCCTCACACTTTGCTAAGGATGTCCAGCGTCTAATAAATTTATTCAGTGCGTTCCTATGGGAAAGACCTAATGCTTGCGTGGCACTCGCCGGGCATGTGCATTAGGTTCCCCTACGACGCTGACGTTGGAGAAAGAGCCAGCACCGAAAGACTTCGGCGCTGGCATCTGGTAAGTAGTTAAAGGGTTTTTAACCCTTTAACTGCTGTTGGTGAGGGGCTGCAAGGGAGGTGGTGGCAGAGGGACATTATAGTGTTAGGAATATAGCTTTGTATTCCCAATACTATAGTGTTCCTTTAACTTCCATGAGTTTTCATTGAATTATGTGGATTTGGCTTTTCACCTGTTAATGGCATTATAAAATGTTTTCTTTTTTTTTTTATTCTTTTTACTTGGAGGAATACTTTGTTTGTATCAAAGTTTGCTGTTTGAGAAACTTCCTATGTGTGTGTTTGCAGGCCTTGCTGATCAGTTTGAACTTTGGACGGTTCACATGGCAGTTGGGAGATGCAGATATTTGCTTCCAAATCCATAGCCTGGAAAATAAAATGAATTTTATCGTACACACGAAGCAGGTAATTGTCCCGTTACTGCAGATCAATGTTTTTATTATGCCGTGCAGCAGTAACAAGTGGATCAAAACAAAATAAAACAGAAAAGGTCTTAGTTCGGTAATGTGTTCCAGAGCAGGCATATTCTCTAAGGGTTATTTTCAAGTGTGAAATGTCATCCAAAGGAAATTTCAACTTTATTGAATAACCCAGTCCGTGCTGACAGACATTCTGCATTCTTAATCTTTTAAACCTGCGAACAGGGCCCTGTCCCTCCATCTGGCATGTCTAAACATGTAATGCTACCTATTACCACCTTCCAAACAAGCTAATCTGATCCATTCTTGTATAACTTTATATTGCTGTCTATCAGAGCTAGTCTTCCATGTTTCCTTATAATCCCTTTTGTCAATAATAAAATTTAACAAGTTGAATAGAACCGTGTGTTGCCATATGTATGGGATCAGTACAGCTGTGTATTGTATGCTGTGTGTGTAACACACCTGCGCATTGTATGCTTTGGGCAATATATGGAGCATTTCTAAAATCTAAATGTTTAAGTGGTTTCTAATGAAAAACAAAGTTTAAAAGTGCCCTCAGTGTGATTATGCAAAAAATATTGTACTCAGCTTGAATGATTTTAGAATTGAAATTTGAATTGAATCTGGAAACACTATATTGCAGTGATACAATAGATTCATCTTTTTGACATATGTTTAAGGGACACTACAGCACTGACTAAGCTGCTTTCAATTCACAACTTGGCTGCAGACAGCTGGAGCAACTAAAACAGGTAGTGGTCTCCTCTCATTCCAATGCAGTTTGTTTTGCAGTTCAAATCATTTAGTGCTTTTGGTGGTAAAGCTGTGTACATACATTTGATAAGGAAATCTTCTCCTGTAGTGAGGGGCATGGCTAAGTAGGAGGGCTTATGGTGCAACATTCTGCAAAGAATTGTTGTTGTTTTTTTTTTTTTATAATACAAAAACTATATATTAAATAAAAAGATCTGAGCATACAAAAATACAGCGTATTAATGAGGCTAAAACCTGTAAATCAAATGCATTAAAATTGTATTGGTGTTCTGAGAGTCCTTTTTTAAATAAAGAAAACTCACTCTGATTCTAAATATACAGTTATTTCTGCATAATCATTTTACGTACTTGTATTTTGCCTTTTCTCCTCTTGCACGCAGGCTGGCCTTGTAGTGAAACTGTTGATGAAGTTAAGTGGTCAGTTTACACCCGCTGATCGGAACGTGTCTGAAAGATATGGTTACGGCTAGCAACCCAAAATGGCCTCTTGCTGCTTCTTGACGGATTATTGGAGTGTGACAAAGTGACTTGTTTATGAGTAATGTGTCCATAAATTACTCCTCACACTCCTCTTGCACTCTGCAGTGATCACTATGGAACAGGATGACTTTATTTATGACATACTCTTCTTGTTTTCTCATACATCTCGTGCACTTTCTGCTTATAGACTTTGGTGAATCGAAATGGACCAAAGTGAATTTGGTTCTGGTTAGCCAGTCCAAAATGGATTCTTAATGCCTTTTCACATTTACTCAGTGTTTAGTGATCTTATTGTGCTTAGCTTGACCTAGAACCATTCCTGTTGCCTTCTGATACTTCGCAGGAATATCTAACATGGAGACCAAGACTAAGCTTCGCTAAATTATGATAGACTTTTCCAGCCTCAAGTGTCTTATACATTCCATGTTTCTACAATGCAATGAGAATGAAGGATTCTGTTTTATCCCGTTGCCATAAGGATATCCTGGTTTCTTCCAACAATGACTATTTTGATGTTTAGTTTTTTTGTTTTATGTTTCCTTGGTTTGTTTTCTTTGCTGGAAAAAAAATACAATATTTATTAAAAAAACAAACAAAAAAACAACTACTTTTATCTTGAAGTAATCTTAATTCTTTCTGAATCCGGGTTTGTGCTGTAATTTGAATGGAGAACACTGTCCAATCCAGCTGACGTTCACTCCCTGTGCTCTTTTATTTAAATTATCTTTGATGAGGAGCATACACTTACCTGACCAAAGATATTTAGCTATAGGTTATACTCTTCAAATGGATTAGCAGCTTTTTCTGAATTTCAATACACGTGGCTACTTTGTAACTAAATTCACAAATTAATCTATCTGATATTCACATTAATGTGGCAAAAGCCAGTGTAAATTCATTGTGCAAGTATGAAAACATAAACAGGAAACAAGGTGATTGTGCACACAATGGTTAAAATTCCTCACAGCTGGTAATGATAAATAAACCCAAATGGTGTAAAAATGGAAAACATCACGGTGAGTACACATAAATCAGAATGGTGAGATAACTTGGAACACTCACAAATTCAAGAGCGAGTTAGAAGTTGGCTCAAGACTGTACAGCATGCATGTCAAACTCAAAGGCTAACACGGGCCAAATAAACAAGGTTTAACTTAAATTTTCATAAAACGTTGGTTTATTTTGAAAAGTGCAGTATAAAAATCCCCCAACATCCTGCTCTACTAAACCCCAGCACCCTCCACTACTAAATCCCAGTCTCCCCCTCGGCCCTCTTCTAAATCCCAGCACCCCCCTCTATTAAACCCCTGCTCATGTTTAAAAAAAAACCAAAAAAACAATATTAGCCAACAAGCAGACTCCACTCACATTACTGCTGCCAGTATGCAACTCCGAAGTCCAGCCTCTGGTATACCCCCAATGGCGCCGTCCGCACCCTGTGCCAAAGCGGATCCTCTCGCTAATCCTTGAAATCCTGTGAAGGTGGAGCACATCAACGTCATGTCAGAATGTGACATGGCGCTGCGTGCCTCCGTGCACCTCCAGGTCCTCCACTGACCAAAACACACTCACTGACAGACACACACACACACACAAACTCACGGACAGACACACATTTACACATTCTTGCACACACTCACAAATCATTTTATTTATTGCTATGGCTCCCTACCTTTGGGAGCTGGTGTGGGGCCTCTCCCTGGGGTCCAGTGGGGATCTTCTCTCAGGAGGTCTCCCTTCCTGCTCCAGTTTAGTGATGTCGGGCTGGCGTGAACCGTGAGGAAGAACAGCCTGCGCTCGATGCCGCCAACTTCCTGCTTCCTCTACACCTGGTAAATTTTAGCAGAGTAGGCACCTGCAATGTAGGGAGAGCAGGTGCCTACTCTGCCTTAACCGTAAGCATCTACTCACGGCTTGCTGGGCCTCGAATTTGACATGCTGCTGTACAGGCATTTCATTAATCTCAAATTGATGCAGGTTAGAACACTTCAGGTTCCAGATCCATCGGAAAGCAGCAATTCTCCTTTAACCTCTTTAACAGAGCAGCATAGAACGCCCAAGCTCTGCACTTATCCAGACCGGCAATCTCCAACATGGGGCTGAAATGTTGATCATTTTAATGTATACCAAATAAAGTACTTTGATTTTTAAGAAGACCATGGAGTGCAGCCTTACTTGTGGATTCTCTCTGTATATGTATGTAAATAAATATAAATATATGTGTGTATGTATGTGTGTATATATATATATATATATATATATATATATATATATATATATTCTACATGTATATTTATCGGATAGATGAACATAATTAAGCGATTTTTATTAATTATAATCTGAGGGTCCTGCTTAACAACCCAGACAATGAATTTGCAAGCCCTATATTTGACCCTGTAAATTTCCAAAACACAATATTAATACCTTGGGGGTATTGTGGTACACGTGAGACTTTACTGAACAGAACTATGAGTGTTTTAAAATGGTAAAATGTATGATGATCATCATATCATCAATGAATGTGCAGTTTTTGTGTAAAAAAATGCAAAAAAATATGAATGCTAGTGTTTGTGACTAAATGGCTACTAAAAAAAGACTGAGCATACCCCATTTTGAATACCCTGGGTTGTCTATATTTGCAAATGGTATGCCATGAGGGGGGTAATTTAAATTTTTTGGACTATCATTTGGTCTCAAAAGGCAACATAGGCTCAGCAAACCAATCTGGCAAACTGAAATGGGCAAGCCGTATACTGACCCTGTAACTTTTCAAAATACCGTACAATCTGTACATGGGGGTGGTGGTGTACTGGAGAGACTTCACTAAAGAGGAATATGAAATACATTTTAAAACACTAAAATGTATGATGACAATGATATCATCAGTGAATGTGCCGTTTTTGTGTAAGGAAAAATATGAAAGCTAACTTTGGCTAGGGTTTGTGACCAAGTGGCTACTAAAAAAAAAAAAAATGACACCCCATTTTAAATATTCTGGGTTGTTGACTTTTCCAAATGGCATACCATGACGGGGTTAATTTTCCATTCCTGGGTTGCCATAAGGTCTCAAAGGCAACATAGGGCCAATAAACTAATCTGGCAAATTTAAATGTGCAAAAATGGAAAAGGAGAAACCCCTGTAAGTTTCCAAAACCCCATAAAACCTGTACATAGGGGGTACTGCTGTACAAGTGAAACATTTCTGAATACAAATGTTTTTTTTATTGCAATTAAAGGTAAGTGTTATGACGTTCATAGTTAAATGTCATGCAGAACTTGAAAAATAACAGTTCTTAATTTCTCACACATTTTTTTTCAGATTTTATTCAAATAAAATTATATATATATAATGTGATATGAAAGCCCTGTACAGGTTTTAAGGTGTTTTCAAAAGTTACAGAGGTAAATATAAGGCTTGCATTTCAGTTTTTTCACATTAAAATTCACCAGATTGGTTATGTTGCCTTCGAGACCGTATGGTAGCCCAGGAATGAAAATTAACCCTATGATTGCATACTAGTTGCAATAGTAGACAACCCAAGGTATTGCAAATGGGGTATGTCTAGTCTTTTTTAGTAGCCAAAATTGGCGTTCAAATTAGTTTTTTTTGCATTTTTCACACACAAACAAATATTAACGCTAAATTTGGCTAGTGTTTGTGACCAAGTGGCTATTAAAAAAGACAGGACATACCACATTTGCAATACCTATGGTTGTCCACTATTGCAAATGGTATGCCACCACGGGGGTAATTCTCATTCCTGGGCTAACATACGGTCTCAAAGGCAACATAACCAATCTGGCGAATTTCAATGTGAAAAAACTGAAAAGTGTATCATGCTATATTTGACGCTGTAACTTCCCAAAACACCATAAAACCTGTACATAGGGGGTACTGTTTTACACGTGAGACATGGCTGTATCCAAATATATGTGTAAGTTGCAGTAAAAGCAAACAGTATTATGACATTCACAGTTAAAATGTCACTTAGAAGAACTAAAAATATTTTTTTTAATTCTTATTTTCTCCCATTGTTTTTATATTTTATTCATATTAAATTATGTTTGATAGCTAAATAGTTGATGTTAAATGAAAGCCCTGTTTCCCCTGAATAAAATGATGTATAATAAGTGTGGGTGCACATAATATGAAAGAGGTGAATTACGCTTGGACAGACATATAGCGCAAATTCCAGTTTTTGTTTATGTTCTGCTTTGATCAAAACGTGTACATTTGGCTCAGTCCTTAAGGGGTTAATACTCAACAGCTGAGCTTCCCCAATTCCAGCATATTTCTTAACACCTCTGTGTTGCTAGGCAAAGGATTTAAATAAATGGATTTTAGCTGTATCTACCAGAGAAGAAAGCTCTATATTAATTTATTTCCTGCTCAGCTAGTTCCTGTGATTCTTTAATAGCCTGGTAAACTGCTCCATGGTGTAACCTGCATTGCTGCTGTGATTGGCATTGCAGCCAGGTATAACTAATCAAACAGTGCTAAGTAAATCACAAGGTGTCACTTTATGTCCCATGTTAGGAATGTGTCACCTGGGCTGGGCCCAGAACAAGTCAATTCCTGCTCCCTCATCAAAGCTTGCTGACCACACTGACTGTGTCCTTTTATCTCAGGAGTGCATATGTACAGATCACCATAGTGACATGTCTTCTGCTTGTGTGTGGAAACAATGATTGTATTCACTAAATATATAGATATACAGAGCTGCAGTTCTGTCAGTGATTTCAGTCATTGCTGATGTCCAGGAATATTCTGACTAAGAGGCTGGAATACCTGATGATCTGAGTTTTTACCTGGACAAATTTGGTGAGTTGGGGGAACTGGTGGGGGGTCTTGAGCCTATCACCATGGTAACATGAGGTTATTGTTTCACATGCACTACCTCTGCTTGTAAATTGCCAGAAAGACCATAAAAAGTTACATAAGACATGCATAGGCTGGAGTAATGTAATCTAGAGCTTGGTGTGTTGGAAGCACTGTCCCTGCCCCCAGGCTGGCTGAATGTGATGGGAATTTGCAGTCCATAGCACTCTGAAACCTGGTACTCTTTAACTTTGACACATACTCAAAGACACATACTCTATCTAAACCTATGCTTCCTAACCCTAAACTCTATAACCGCTTCTAAACATATAGTGCTGGGTATATTGCTATACCCCAGCATCATTTTAACACTGCATGTAGTTTTATGGCCAGTCAGTCAAGTATTTGGTAACCTGTATGGGTTGTCTCACAGGTTTCTGTTCTGGATTAATGAGGTTGTGGGGTTCACAAGACCCTCTGGATTGACCCTTCTATCTATTCACCTAGTGACAGAGGAGTTAAGATTAAATATTAGAGGTTCTAAGGACCCTTAATTACCTGGAGGATGATTAATGGGCAGAAAAAGGAGTCAGTCCCGGCTACATTCTGATTATTACAAGTGGGAATTCTTATTAATCAAAAAAGAAACGTGAACTTATAGTATAACCAGAATTAAATAAACAAATATATATCTGCTGGTTTAGAGCATGGGAGGTACAAATTGTGGTCAGTCCATCTCAGCAGTAAGTGTCCCTAGTGTAAACGTATTCACCAACCTCAAATCC